AGGATGTAGGTTCTTTTGTTGATTGCCAGCTTTAAGATGATGCAAAATGTGGTAAAATGTTACTGTAAAGGCAGTAAGAATAAAATATAAGAAAACATATGGTTTAAATAGTTTGCATACTTCTTATGATACATGTAGATCCTTGTGATGTTAAAAGTTTATGTTGATGATTGACCAGTAGTTTGCACAATAGTCTCTGGATAGAAGAATGCATCCTTGTTGTTTCTGAATTCAATATTAATCTTCAAGTGGCTGTTAGCATACAGTTGTATAAAGAGTTGTGTGATAGGGCTTCAACAACTCACATGAAAAGTATACAGTACAGGTTTATCAGCTTGAACTTGATAAAAAGTCAAATGCTACATGACAAACATCAAAATTATGTCTAAAGGAGTGTTCCACATTACTCAATGTGCTCCACTCTGGTTTACTAGGTTCTTATGCTCACATGACCTGTTACAGATGTCTCTCACTGTAGGTGCTATAATTTTTTGTCAAACCCAATACTACTTTGATCAGCTGGATCTGTTTTAAAATACAAAAAGATAATAACATTTTTTATCATGCTATTCACAGAGGGAAGTTAATTAATTAAAAGTTTTTTGAAGAACACAATGCAACTGTTGTCAGCTTTTTTAGGACAATTTCTTGTACACACATTCATTCACTGTAATCACATTCCTGGTCGTGTTGAGCTTGTTGCATATCAGCTTGACAACCACAAATAAAGACATGTGCAGTACACCTTTCATTTTGAAGGACCAGTCCATGTTTGCGAGCAACACAATTGCAAATATTATAGGTTTTTAAGCTCTTCAACAGGGTATCCCATGCAAATTCAAATGTGATGGAATGTGGTCTTCTGTGTTTGATACACTATATACATAAGTACATGTATACCTATCTTCTCAATTGAAACTAAAACTAAGAAGAAAAAGGCGAATTAAAATTACAACATCGATGCCAATTAAGGTCAGATATCCAAACACCATCACAGTTATGATTTACATTGTTTAAACTTTATAAGTTATTTTTATGAGTTTGAGAAAATTATTTGAAAATGCTTCTGCAAGTGAATTTTTAAGAGACATATATTTGACATTGTTTGTTGTCGAGAGTAAAAATAATGAACAATGTATTATATTGCATTACGTTGCATTGAATGTACATTCTGGCAAAAACCGAAATTATTCCTGGAAAATTAGTTAACCACATTGTAACAGTTAACGCCAAATACACATTTTTTTTTTTGGACAGAATTAATATCTTGTAGAACTGTATAGGCTAGATCCAATAAGCATATTCTGAGTACAGTGTCTTCTAATTAATTTGATAGTAAATTTTAACAATAATCAAGTGAACATAATTTGCAACACACTGCTTGCCATCGTTTTCACCAAGTGTGCTTCTGTTAGTTCCTCGACTTGTGGCCAGCAGACACAGTGGTTGTTGGATCGGCGTTATCAAATACTGCAGGGCCTGAAGTGTTCTCCACATCATTTACTTCCCCTTACAAACAATGGGATGTAGACAAAATGTAGCCCATCATTTCTGTACATGTCCAGAATTGTTTCAATGTTGTTAACTAAAACACATTTAGCTAAGACATGCATGGTGAGAATTCGTCCCTGTTGAACATGTGACAAGGCATCCTTCGCTTCCTTGACCGGTATTGGTCAATTGATGTCCCCATACTGGCAGTTCATATTGTCATGTAGTTAACAAACAGCTCTAGTACATGAAAGTTCAGCAGTTTGACTGCATTCAATGCTGCTCAATATGACTGCACAGCACAAGTACGTGTATACGATTTACGTGATAACAATAGAGTCCAATAACTGACACTCGTTTGGGTAAAGAAGTGAGTGCTTGCGAAAGCGAATACTTCTCCCGTTCAATCCACACTGAACACGAACCGAGCTTGGATAAGTTATTAATGGCTTGCGTGAGCAAAACAAATCTTGTATCGCTGAAGAAATTTTCTCACGAAGATCTAAGCGAAATGACACACAGTACACAGTTCTCGAGGGCAGTGCGGGAAGAAAGATAATATATAACAGAAACGTGGCAAAACAATTTAGAAATGGAAAATAAATCACCTTGAAAGACTGCAACCAACTCGCGACGGTAAGCTGTGCAAAAATATTACTTGTACTCAAAACAGCAATGGCCGCCATATCGAACGCTCAAGTCATATAAGCCTACTCATTTCCTCCCAGAAGACCTCACGATACGCGACACGTAGACAAATAAATTCCGCGGACGGTAGGGCGGTAGCAAGGTGTAGGCTAAAGTGCTCACAAAAACCTTAACTCGCTTATGACGCCGGGTCCAGGGCTCAAACCCAGGCCACATTGGTGGGAAGCGAGCGCTACAACCACTCACCTTCCCTACCACCTTGGCTGAAACTCCTTAGGGAGTTAACGAAACTACAACGGCGACGCCGAGGACAACGTCAATTTAAAAAAAATGGATTTATATTTTACGTACGAATCTCGCGATACTCTAAAGTCATTTACTTTGTTTATCACTGTCAAAACTATCGCAAAACTAAATCCGAACACAGCGATAAATTTGAAATAAAAATTTGAAAAATTAGCAGTCGTGGTTCACGTTCGCCAGGCAACGCAAAATTGGTCATTTCATGTTGTAGTCTTGCAAAGGACGGCAAAGAAATGTACCAAGAATTATAACGCACGTGCACAGCCATTGTACTGCTCATTAATTCTTTTGTTCAGTGACGTTCCCGTTGCCGTTGCCGTCGTGGTTTCGTAAACTCCCTACTAACTGATCGTGCGGTTTCTGTCAAAGACGTTGCTAAGCAACATTACGGCATAGCTACAGACATTTTTTCTTCATGAAATAAGCCGAAATATATTTGATGGCAACTGATACACGCTACAAGAGAGAGAGAGAGGTTCGTAAACGGCTTTTAAATTCCTAAGTTCCACCCAAAAGCAATGTTGCGCGAGACGTCACAGAGGACATTTTGCCCGCATTACTTGGCGTTAATGGAGTGTGCGCGGAAACGCTCTAGGATCATCAAAATCCAGATACAGGGTAATCCACTTAAAACACGAGCAAATAAGGTTCGATCCTGAAATCTAGAAGGGAAGTTATAGTAGTGAAATCATACACTATAGATTAGGGAAGACAAGACAAAAGGACCTAGATTACAGGAGAGAACACAAGTTGAAATAATGACGGAACTGACGTGACGATACGCTTGCGCGAGCGCGAAATGCGGCTACGGTTATAAGCAATAAGAGGATCAAGTTCTCTACAGCTGGTGGTGCCACAATGGTTTCTACGTGTACTACTCACGTGTCGCACGTAGCGGAAACATTTTCATTGGGGTTTGCCAACTTGTAATACGGGTTGTAATAGGCAAAAACACCACTTTCTAATGCAACAATGCGCGACAAGACATGATAGATCATCGCAGTTATACACACAACTTAACAAGTTGTGACATTAAAGCCTGAGGCCTCAGCACTGCACCGTATCGCAGAGGTCAAGGATTCGAATCTCGTTCAAGCCTGATGTTTTTTTCAGGCTTTAATTTCACAGCTACTTAAGTTTTGTGTATAACTGTGATGATCAATCGTGTCTTCATGTCTTTCTCCGTAGTTCAAATACATGTTCTTTCATATATTCACTTGTATAATGCACAACAAGTTGCAAGAAATATTTGCCCCCATTACTGCGCCTTAGTTAAAACATCATAAAAAATGGGCCAAAAGAGGGCATGTAAAGCAGGGAGAACATAGTGGCAAATGCGAGTCAACGGAACAGAGAAGGCATGTCCAAGGCCTCCGGAAACCCGCGTAGATTGCTTTTGGTCACCCAAATACATGACAGAACCTCCGAAAAAGGATACGGTAACGCAAGATTCAGATTCAGCACGTATTACACACTAGAAGAAAGATCAGATCGAAGCGAGAAAGTATAAAACACGCAAAACAATTCTGGTAGAGTGTAGTCAACTGGTAGAGAACACTATGATTTAAGGTAATCCTCTGCAAACGGACGACAACATGTAGAGAATACGCAAAGGCGAATTCATTATGGTGGATTCTGGGTGTGAGGCGTGGGGAGTGAAAAATATCTCAAGGACCCACTCAACTGCAGACGGCAACGCAACTCGGGTACGTTAAATACAGATACTGTGTAACCCTATAGGGCAGAGAGGGTCGTGGGCGGTGTTAAATTAAGTGTGTTTTTTTTTTCATAACCTTTCATTTTCATGACCTGCTAGGGTTTGGACTGCCGAGGATTTTAGAAATGGGTTTTAGTGAAACCTTGGTAAGATATCCAACTTTAATAACACGCATCGTTACCTTCAATATATATTAACTACACAATTCTAGACGCTTTTTTGACACCGCGGTGAGATATCCAAGGTTAATAACACGCATCGTCGCCTTTGATATATTAAGTATGCAATTATAGATCGTTTTTTTGACCTTGTGTTGACAGGAACATAGATCCCATTGTTTCAAGAGCATAGATCTAGCAGGTTTCTAATGTCTGAACGGTAGATGTCAACGCTTTTGAGCGATATTTGAAGTGATTTGGCAGGTAGTTTCATGAGGTAATGACCTATTGCCAGCGTTTTCAATTTGTTTTTAAGTGATTTGGTACATCCCACTTCTCTAAAAATATTTGTTTGGAATCCTCAGAAATGGCACTTCTGTCTTTATGGGTGTCGGTTTTTCTGAGTGCCTTTTTGACAACAGACAACGCGGTAGCTCCTAATCCGATCTATGGGAATAATCAACAATCCCGTGGTCCGTTTGGTGTTAGCCCAAGTTTGAGAAATCCTAAACTACGACTTGGACTTCCATTGGTAAAGACCGCGCCTTCTCAAAATTCTAACTTAGCCCCGCCTTTGTCAAACCATCAGGGCGTTCATGTTATTGGCAAAGCGGCTCAACAAGCTCCGCCTCTGTCAAACCACCAGGGCGTTTACGTTGTTGGCAAAGCGACTCAACAAGACTCACTTGAAAAGAGACCCGGGGAATTAAATCAAAGCCATCAACTCAGTATGAGTGTGACACCTAGTAAACAGCCTGCTCGGCAAATAGCACAGGGTGATCAGACCAAACCAGCAGCTACTAAGAACGAGGACAATGACGTCAATAACAATAATTGTGGATGTTGCTGTGGCACAAATAATAACAATAACGGTGGCAAAAATAACGGAAACAATTGTTGTGGCTGCTGCTGTTGCTGTTGCCAGCCGTGTTGCTGCTGTCAGCCATGTTGTTGTTGTTGTCATCATCACCACGATCACGACCACGACTGTTGCGTGCATCACGATTGCTGCGTGCATCACCTTCATCACGTTACCCATGAATGTCCTTGCACATGTGCACAATCTTGCTGCTGTGGATGCCCACAAAGTTGTGGCTGTGGATGTGCACAGCCTTGTGGCTGCGGTTGTGGATGTGGTTGCGGAAGTCTGGACCCACTCTGTCAGGGTTGCGCTGCACCCTGTGGTTGTGGGTTAGCGGCATGTGGATGTCCTTTCCAGATTTCCCCTTGCTGTTGCTGTGGGTACACAACCGAGTGTGGCGATTATCACTATGATATCTTCGCAGAAGACAGTGAAGGTAATTTATTATTTTACTTTTATGCTTTATTCTTTGTTTTGTCTGACGGCCATATATCTGATTAAGCTTAAAAAAGAAGTATACATAAATAAACCATCGATTAATGTGGAAACAAGAGCTCATATTAGCTATCTGTGTATCTTACAAGACCCACCTGCAGTGCTAAGAACATTTAGATCCGCACCCTTGATCGAGCTTCTTTAACGTTTGAAATTCTCTTTCTTATCTAGGGCCTGAGAAAGAAGCAAGTAAAAACAAAAAGCAAGAGAAAGGAGATCGCCGCCAGCTCATCCTTCCACCAGGATATCTTTTCCCCGCGTTTCGCCGTTTCGAAAAGTTTCTCAAGAGGTCAGTTCCTGTTTAAGTAACTTTTATTTGTGAACCATCACAAAAAACATCAGCATATCAAAGCTTTTTGCAGATTCAACCCTATTTATCAGAAACTATTTAGTGCCCAAGAGAAATAACCTCATTATGCCTTTTAAATGCAGCTGCGTTCTCTAATGTAACGCGCCCGTGACCGTCTGAATCGCGTTATGCAAGTGGGAAGCATTGCTGAAAGGGTAACAGGAAAAACCTAAGGCTTAAGACAAGAGTTATTAAGAAGCTGTCTCTGTAAAAACCGACCACTGATTTCACTTCGAAAATTCGATTTTTTCTCATAAGCTGGGATTTCGAAGCCCTTACCTAGTCAATCACTAAAATGAGTTTTGATCAGATGAGTCCTTTAAACGCCCAGTGGCGCATAGGGCATCAACAAGTCGCCTCCATTCCTGTCGGTCCTTTGCAAGCCGTTAAGCTTGCCCCCAGGTAAGGTTTA